AGATTAGGGCATTTAACATACTGTCGGATTATTTTGCTGACAGACAAAGAAGCAGTTGGAAGGTTGGAGGTTAAGTGAAAGGAGAAAAGGCAGGCTAAGTAATGTCTGTCTTTATTGCTGTCTGCTACCGCTCTGCCTCTCATCTTTAAAACCATTATCAGTTGGTTATGCATCTACAGAACTTGCATTCCTGTGTGGCTATATCAGTCATGAATATTGTGGATTATTTTCACATGCAGCATCCAATGGCCCCCCAAAAACATTACACCAACACTCCCTGGCATCTTTTCATCAAGCACAGTTTTGCTTTTAATGTCATTTAAATTTTGTATAATCCAGCACACTTGCTTTATTTATTAGCATGTGTATGTGTCTTACAGAGGTGCGAGTCTCTCAGGCAGTAGGAGGGATTTCATTTGTCGAAAGAGCAGGAAACTGTTTATCATCAATTAGTGGGGACTTGTCAGTTCTACCATGTTCCATTACTTCTTACATGGAATGGCACACAGCACGTGTCATCAGCATCCACAGAATCATTACTGAATATATCTCCTTCAATAGAAGATGCCTGTATTGTAGATGTTGGGTATCATTTAAAGATTAGTATAGTCATGGGTACTCAACAGTGTTCTTTTCCCTGTTTTCCAGAAACCTGGCATTGCTGTGTAGTTGCATAATACACTGGGCATCACAGAAACCTTGAATCACTCTTTTCATGCCTTTTAAATTATTCACAAACCAGTGCAGGTAAAAACAAATAACTTTCAGATAAAGAAATCACCCACTACGGTTTGTACATAATGATAAACTGATCTGGTCTGAGTTCAACTTCTGGAGAAGGTCTTCTTCGTGAGGGGATTTAAAATAAATGGTTGTAGTTCCCCACCAAACCATTCAGCATTTTTAGTCTGGCCAAACCTTGAATCTACACAAAGATGTAAGTGGTTAAAGCCTTTTGATTCTTTGCACATCTAAATATGGCACTTCTCCATGAGGCACGATGGTGTCCCCTTACAAAACGTTCAGTTCCTCACGTCCTCTGCTATCCAGCAAAGGAAATCAGAGCCAAAGTGGGATTTTCTTGTAGTGTGATGTGTGCAAGTGGCTTGTGGGGAGGAGAGTGATCAAAGGGAGAAAAGGTTGTTGGAAAGCTGAAGCGGTATCTCTCTTGTGGATAGCATAGTGGACAGATCCACCAGATGTTCAACACCTGGGTCCCACTGTGGCCTCAGCTCTCCTTTGGGCTGCACACTGCCCAAATTCCTGATTTTATGACTTGCCAGTTGCACATTGTGCCAGCTCGGTTCCTGTGAATTATTGCATGTGCACTGCACAAACACAAAATCTAAGGTGTAGAGATTTCCTATTAAAATGTAAGATAAAAGTACCCATGATTCACTCAAAAAAATATCTCAGATATGTTGGCGTAAGACATTTAATTTATTCCACAATAATAAAACCATTAAATCCACACTTGAGTGCAGTGCTGTTTCATCATCTCTGTATATACCATTGAGCTAAACACAAGGGAATAGTTTGATAAACATGCTCACTTGGTTCTTGCTGAGAGTTGGCTGAAAAGATTGATACCACTCTGGCTGTCATTACAAGCTACAATTATGGGGAATAGGGAAACGGCTACATTAGCCGAGTTGAACTGTAACAATTTGATTACTAATGCCTTTGTAGCGTGCTGATTAACACATTATATCGTGTGTTTTAATATGTACAAAAATTGAAGCATGTCTAACTAGTTTTTGGCTGGGATCGGTGAATTGGCTGTGAAACTCGTGGTGACGACTCAAGGAATAACTGCGTTCAGAGTAGAAATGGTCTAGCAGTTAGCCTTCAGATTGTTGCTTTTACGTTTTTGTTTGATTAAACAACATAAAACATGTCAATTAGAAAACGAAAAATGTGTGTGTGTGTGTGTGTGTGTGTGTGTGTGTGTGTGTGTGTGTTTACCGTTTGGATGAGGCCAGGCTTGCTATTTCCTGTTTTTTCTCTAAGATAAACTAACCATTCATTTCCTGGCTGAAGCTTAATATTTAAAGGTCAGATTTGTATCTGTGGTCTCATCTAACACAACAAGGAAACATAATTGTTTTTTTTTTTTCCTCCCCCAAATTGTCGAATTAGACATTACCTTTAAGTACAGTACAGGTGGAGATATTTGAATGCAGACAATTAAGGCTCATGGTCATTTCTGGATGGTTGTCTCGCTTTTATGTTTTTGCGAGCTGCTATTCCCTCTCACACACCTGTCACATAATCAAGTGTGCAGAGTTTTTGTTAGGGTTTTGTTTCCCCCCCCTAAGAGTGTCTGAATGGGAAATAAATAGTAAAATACCATTAACTTGTAATCTAAACAATATAGCAAACGGTTTGTTTGTTGTTTTGTTTTGTTTTCTGATAGTCAGAAATCAGACTAACCCTGCCAATACATTTCATTTATCAAATAGTGGTCACTTATACATTATTACATTTATGTCCAGTTTAAAAATTGTGTGGATGCATGTAGTAATGAGTCTCTTTCCTTTTTTATTTTTCAGAGCAGTAACCTGTGATAGATATTCAAGATGCAAAGCAAACAGCTGCTTCCCACACACATTTCTTTTACTCAAGTCAGTCAGGCAGACTGGGGGCCAGAGAGGCAGAAAGTGGGGTGGGACATGTGAAAGTCATTTCATAGAGCCTTGTTGTTCTCTTGCTTTTCATGTCAACACTGGTGTGATTATCATTAATACTGTCATGTTTTGTAAGATGGGGGTGGGTGTCAGGGGACACGTGCAGATGAACGTGCGGCAGAGCTGGAAGGCTAAGTAAAATGGAAGAAATGCACAGTAGTGGAAGCATTAGTCAGACACTGGCTAGACGTCTCCTGTTCACACATCTACATTCTGCAGGGGACCCTGTCACCAAAACAGCTGCTCTACAGAAATAGTTAAGTAATGGTCAAAGCTCATTTCAGAAACCAGTACTGCTCGCCCCTTGCAAACAAGAATGTGTGTGTGTGACTATATTCAAACAGGAAAAAACACATGAATGAGTTTCTACAGAGCCACACTCAGGGAGATGAGGTAGTCTTATAGAAATATTCAGTTGGATTCTAACCTCGGTATGACCCGCAATTTGGAAATCCTGCAGGTCATACTCTAAGTATATAAGAAATGTGAAGCTAGCTTAGCATAAAGGCTGGAAATCACTAGCCTGGCTGTGTCCAAATAAACCAGTCTCACTATTTAACACCTTATAGTTGGTTTGTTAAATTTGTACCATACCTTTTGGACAGAGCCAGTCTTTATGCTAACCGAAGCAAAACAGGATTATGCTACGTTTATGTCTGGGTCTGGGGGTGGGGATGCCCAGCTGTGGGATCCGTCTTCTCTTTAGTCTGACACATTCAGACGGGTAGTTTCCGCTCTGAGGTAAATCTAACACTGGTCAGATCCTTCTTGCTTTCCTCTTTTACACTCACATTATGGTCTCTTACCCTTTGTCGTCTGGTACTGTATTTTAGACTTCACACCTGGATTCATTTGGGACTATGACTTTTCCATGTGGTATCATGTGTACTTTAGTTTACTCCTTCATACATATGGTTTGTTTTCTGTTGTAATATGTTTTTATATCTTAAAAATCTCTACATAATTTTCATCTTGCCATTGCCTTGAAGCAAAGTAAGATCCCTGATCATGATCACGTCTCCTCGACTTCTCATCCTGCCAGACATCGATGGAAAACGCTGTCATGCTAGGGCCAGCAGGAACCTTTATGAAAGAGTGGCTTTACCCACTCTAACCAATGTGGGAAGTGGGAGCACTGGGGTCACTGCAGACACAGTCTGACTTTGACTTAGCTGAGGCTGCTCCTGCATTTTAGTCTTCAGAGACCCTGAAGCCTAAACATTCCTGCAGGCTGACGCCATCAGTGGAACCCACCCTGTGGGCAAAGGTTTCATATTTCTGGAAGACCCTGAATGATGGAGGTTGTTGCGGAGTTTAAAAAAAAAAAGGAGCTGACTGTTAAGAAATCAGCCTTTAAACACCACAGTGACCACCATGCAGCTCAGAGTTTTGGCTCTTTTTGACACAACCGGTATAACCTCGCCTCCAGCCAGGAACAAACTGCTGCATGTGGCTGAAGGAGGGAAATGAACAGTGGCTGACTTATTAGGTGACTGTTTCCAAAAGACATCCCTGGAGGTCAAAGGTTACCTTTCCCCCTGATATGGGGTCTTCAAGGCATATGGTGCTAAATGTCAACGATGGGCCACCCAGAGAGGCTCTGTCAACCAACAATTAGTTTCATGGATTACCGTCTTCTTTTTAGTTTCTTCTGTCACTGCTCTGTTTTCTTGTGTGTGTGAAATTAAAGATGTGAGGTGAGAAGTTTGAAAAGACATTTGACCTAGATTCCTTCTGCGCTTGCCTGTAGAAAAGATTGGTGTTTCACCTTCTGTGCTCTACTGGCTCATTTAGCTTCTCAGCTCACTGTTGCAGCAGATAGACAGTGATATATTTCATTTCATGTCAAATATACATTAAATGTTTATCAAGTATGAACCAACAATGAATAATCGGCTTTCCTTTGTGTCGCTTCTCTCAGGAAACCAAAACACTGTTAGCTAGTTCTGACAGAGCTATGCTGACATGTGTGATGCATCTTGTCCACCAACTCCCTATAGGTCTTTAGATCTCAGTTTTAATCTCTCAAGATGCAAAAATGATGTAGGAAAAATTCCCGACCATCAGCCAGTCTGCTACACTTAGACTAGTTTAGACTAGAATTTCAGCTAGAGATCTTTCAAACTGACATAAGCCTGTAGGCAAACTGCCACAATAACTCCTTTGCATTTGCTCACAATACGATCTTCCTTTATGACTCATAGGCTGTATTATATTTCTAAATAACTTGCATAATCTGTTTTTCTTGTCTTTTAGAAAAATTTATATTCCTTTTGTTGATTATGTAAGCATGTGCAATTACAATGTCCCCAAAGTTTATGGAAACTTGTAAGAGGGAATTCAGTAGGATGAATGTAATGTAGCACTGTAGGTTTCCCACATTCATGGGAACACGATTTAGAGGGAATTAGAAATTCTCATCAGATGTATCACTTGAGACACATGATCTCATGTTACAACCTACCAATAATTTGATATTTTCTGTCAACATCTATCATTTTGTCACTTTAAAGATAACATGCCTGTTTTATTTAATGGTAATGCTACCATCAAAATGCTATCATGCGGCGATTGTTAAATATCCCAGTGTAGCTTGGAAGTATGCTTACTGTAATTCGAATTAGCAACTGTTAAGTGTAGCTGAGGCCGATGTAATATTTTGAAGCATTTTGTCATAAAGCAAAGTATTAAACTGAAATTTTGACCAGATGATGGTGCTAGATGATGCATCAATGGATCACCCTGCAGAAGATTTGACTTTTTTTTTTTTTAACCAAATTTTATATCATTCAATCCAAACGTTGTTTTCACCGAAAATCACAAATGCAAAGGTGGAAAAGGACAACGAGCAAAAACCAGAGTAATTAAAATTCATCCTCTGTGCACCATGAACATCTGTCCAAATTGTTATGGCAATCCATCCTAAAGATGTTGAGAGAGTTCAGTCGAGACCAAAGTGGTGACCGACCAACTGATGTTGCCATTCTTAACATTTTTATTGGATAAAGGGGTAAAATGCGCAAAGACTAAAAAAAATCTACTGCAGCTTTAATGATTATTCTGTATCTGAAATGATAAAGATGGCTCTAAAATAATGGAGCACCCTATTAAATAAAACTCTTATCTTCAGCACAGTCATTTCCAGATGAGAAAATATCTACTTTCAGAGAAGAGTGATGTAATGTTGACTCTGTTCTATGTCTTAGGGTTTGACGGTGCAGGTGGAGGATGTGAGGATCAGGGCCACATATTCCCACAGGAAAAGAGTTCCCATCACCGAGGGCTTTTTGGAGGTGAAAGATGGTGGCAGGTGGAGACAGATCTGTAATGAGGAGTGGACAGAAATGAACAGCAGAGTCATCTGTGGCATGCACGGCTTCCCCGGGGAGAAACGCTTTAATACACGACCCTACAAGTGAGTAACTGCTGGGGTCAGAATCAGAATCTGCTTTATTGGCCGGGTGTGTTGGACACATGAGGAATTTGACTCTGGTACTGTACATCGGCTGTCAATGTGCAAACAGTAAACCAGCATAAGGCTGTGTAATATAACAAAAATAAGCAGTATTTACAAGCAACAAAGTGCAAACAATGCAGAATAAGCAGTATGAACAGTAACAATGCAGACAACAAAGGAATGTTCTTTGAAATGAGATAATTAGGGATAAAACAGTACTTAAGAACTAGAGACTCATATGTTCATCAGAGTGACAGCCAGGGGGAAAAAACTGTCCCTGTGCCTGGTTGTCTTGGTGCACAGTGACCTGTAACGCCGTCCAGAGGGGAGAAGTTCAAACAGATTGTGTCCTGGGTGTGAGGGGTCTGCAGTGATCCTCTCCACCCTCCTTTTGACCTGTGCAGTGTACAGGTCCTCCATGGAGGGCAGGCTTGCACCAATGACCTTTTCTGCAGTCCTGACTGTTCGCTGAAGTCTGTCAGCAGTTAAAACACCAATTTGAAAGACTAAAAGTTTATACAGTACATGATTTGAACTCTTAAGATAAGTTAATTACAGCTTACGTTATGGGAACATATTATTGCAGCATGTATAACAAATTCTTTTAATTTCACTTTTGTAAAAAAAAAAAAAGACAACAAAAAACATGCATATTGCAATTGGAGATGGACCTCATACTTATATTTTTCTGAAGAAATATGGCATGAGAGGAAAAACTCAACAATGAGAATCACTGTTAAAACATAAAAGAATATGACTGCACATCCCATTGGATCAAATAAGAAACAAGCCATGCTTCCTTCAGAAATCCTTTTTACTTTTTAACTTCATCCCCTTTGAACAACCAACCCTCTCTCCAGAAAGGGGGATGAGTAGCACACCCACTTAAAAGGAAAGGAAAAAGGAGAAAAAGAAAAAATGTATGTATACCACATACCGTATCTGTACAACACAAACATTCTTTGTGTTCAAAAATTGCACTTCTTAAAAGTACTGGTGTTACTTTGTTTAGGAATGTTGTGCCATACCAAATTGAGGAAATGTTACTTGTCCAAGTTTGTTTACAGTGGTTATGACTCAGCCCTCCATCCATTTTCCACACTGAGATTAAACATGCTTGAGTTTGGAGATTCTTGACAAGAAGCCAAGCACTGCTAGAGGACGTTTTACAGCCCATGGGAAACCACTGAGTACAGGTCACTGTGAAACAGTGGCTCTTTTGGCTACATGCAGTTGTTTCCTTCTGAGCATGCGTGACAATGTGCTGTCCTAACCCTTAATATGTAGATTAACACAAAGCCAGCTGCTTTATAGAGCACCTTGTGTATAAAACCTTTTGTCTGCGAACACTGGAATTGAAGTTCAAAACACAATAGATGCTCACTGCACACTAGAAGGTAATTACACAAGCATGTCTCTACCTCTTGAGTGAGGGACAGAGAATAACATGTTACTCTTAAACAACTCAGCCAGAGGTATATATCCAAGAATCAAACGTTTTTTTAGAAATAAATGTGGGGGGCATATAAAGGAGTGTAGTGTATCTTTTCATCTTAATCTATTCCTTATACACATCCAGCCAGTGTTGGAAGACTCCCAGTACCACAGTTCAACCACAGGGAAATCGAGACCAGGCTGACATAAGAAAGATATTTATTTCTAAATGCTATGAGGCAGTGTGATAGCTCTTTTTTTTTCCAGCTCTTGGCCCTATATGGCAGACACGATCTCATCTGCTGTTTGTACATATGGATGCATTTTAAACCAAGGAAGTGTATGGTGCATAAAACCAGCAATGACATTGTGTTGATGATGATGTGGTCTTGCATGGTTCATAGCTTGAGAGGTTAAATATTACATTCAGTCCTCCTTTTATCCAGAACAACAAAAGTCAGTAACAGAAATAACCAGATTAAAAACTTTCAGTCAAATTTAGCATCACTTCAGAGTTAATGGACAGCGAATTTTTATTTAAACTGATCTGGATTTATATTGTCATCTTTTTTCTTTTTGCAGCATTTTAAGCTAAAAGAAATCAAAGGCTGTAAATTTAGCCCATGCTGGTTTCATTTAATGGTCTGCTTCTTCCACTGCCCAGACATGCCTCAAGGTCCACTGTTAGGTTCTCTGACTTCCATTCAAGTGTGGGGTCACAGGAATGTTAAGGTATTCTCACAACAATACCTCCACTGTGCTTCACAGCACAGGATGGGTCCTCACAAGATAGCTAGCTAACATTTTGACCACAGTTTTATCAGTTTAAAATTGAAACCACAACACAGTGTTTAAAAATTGAGAGGGACTGAAAACTTGATGAAGCCACTGTGTATGTGTTGTACTAAAAAAAAACAAACTATGTTGCCTGTGGCCCTGTTTTGTTTCTTAGATTGCTCGCCAAACGTCGTAAGAAGAACTACTGGGGCTTCTCTGTCAACTGCACAGGTAACGAGGCCAACCTGTCAGATTGTAAACTGGGTCGGGAGATTGAGCTGAAGGGCAACAGCACCTGTGGAAAAGGCATGCCCGTAGTGGTCAGCTGTGTGCCTGGACGTGCATTTGCACCCAGCGTCAGCATTGGCTTCAGGAAGGCATACAGAGTGGAGGTAGGTTAGACTGTAGATGCTTGGTTGTATGTTGGGTCAATGGTCTTTGCAGTCACTGCAAGACAGTCTTGGGAGTGAAATAAAGTATTCTGAGGCCTGCCAGTACTCTACCAATACAATATGTCTTGCTACTGCATTACAACTAGTGTTCTGAGAGTTTTAGGATAAGTAAGATACAGAGGCTGATTGTGCCTACAGGGATCAATAAATTAAAACACGTTAGCACCAACAGTCAGATGATTCCTTTAATCCCTTAGTACAAGTGGATCCTGGCTCATTTTGTGTTTTACTAGAACGGAATCCAGTCATCTAGATCAGAATTCTGCACCAGGTTGGGTACCCAATGGGTAACCCACAAAAAAAAGATGTATAAAGGGTAAAAAAAAAAAAAATCCATTTATATTAGTGCTACAGTGTGTAATTTTTCCCAAATATTCTTGTTCTGTTTTGTGCTAATGTGTCAATGAGCCTGGATGACCAGAGGCTACAACAGCCTCTCTCCACATTAAGACAAGTTTTGGAGCATATTTCTACGACAAAAATATTTGGGGAAAAAGGTTCTACACTGTAGCTTTAAAACAGGAAATTTATGCAGCATTTCATACGAGAGTCCACACTGGATGTTGGTGAATTTTTAAGACTGAGCAGAATCAGTTCTGGGGAGAGTCTGACACTTCAGGAAGGTATGGTACCATATGGCTGATATTAGTCAGTGATTGAAACTCGACACACAGCATATGGTTTATATTTTTATTTGAATTCGACTCTTATCTATAACTTTATCATTAATTTTTAAAAGAAAGGCATGAATGTCCTAGTCTGGTTTCTCCACAAACACAAGGTGTTGCGACATCAATTCCATTACATTATATAACACTTTCAATGTAAATACCGAGTTCAGTGAGTACGTGATACAGTGTCCTCTGGTCTATTCTTGACTCGAGTCCAGTTCTGGATTATGACACTTCCTGCTTAATAATCAAGTGGCCCCTGTAGTCAAGCATCTGGAAACATTTGAATGGATGAGTGCTAAACATCTGTCATGTACACAATGAAATGATCAGTATTCTCTGTCTGCATTGATATTTTTTTATTTTATTTGTCTAGTTACTGTATTACCAATGTGCAAATTATCAGGGTGTTAAAATTAAGTGGTATAACTGTAGCATTTAATAATAATAATAAATAAAAATAAATAAAAGAATTGAAAAGATCATTTGTTGTAATGTTTGCACTGATTTTTAGTTTGTGGTGCATGCTTTCTGTAGCAACCCTTGGTACGATTAAAAGGAGGAGCTATGATAGGCGAGGGGCGAGTGGAGGTCTTGAAGAATGGCGAGTGGGGGACAGTGTGTGATGACAGCTGGAACATTCAAGCTGCCACTGTGGTGTGTCGAGAGCTGGGATTTGGCAGTGCTAAAGAGGCCCTGACCAGTGCCCGACTGGGACAAGGTATGATCTACAGATTAGTCACTCTGTTGCATAGTACATAGTAAAAAAAAATTACAACTCTCACCTGATAGAGGTAGTTTGAAACAGTTCCTACACACATTTAGAAATTAGTTTTAAGATAGCTAACTTTTTTCACATTTAAAGTTCTGTCATCGAACCAAAGTCCTAGCATGATTTAAGCAGAACTCCTTCCCAGCTGTGAAAACGAAAAGTGTGGACTTAAACCTCAGCCTTCCACCTCCACCTTATCTTTGGCTGCTGTATAACCACCTGTTTTTGTCTTGCTTCCATCAGTCTAGACCTTCAGTCAGCATATGAATGTATGGAGTGGCACATTAGTGTTTATACCTTGACCCACAGCCTGATTCTGCAAAATGCAACACACCGCAGCATTATAAGAAGCACATGGTCATTGGAACAGCTGTCCTCTGCTCTGCCTTCTGCACACAGCAGCACCAGAGTGCACAAAATGTTCTGGCAAAGAAAAGAAAACATTTTTTATGGGTTTCAGAGGAAGAATTCAGTGTTGGACTGTGCACAAGGTTGTTTGATGGATTTTTCTGAGGTGACCGCTGGATCCATAAATGACACCACACACAGAGATTTTAATTAACTTTTTCCCCCCCCCCAAAGTCATTGCAGTGACCTAAACAAGAATGTAAATAAATAAATGTAGTAAGATCTTTCTCCACTGGCATTCGGTCTGCCTATGTCTCGAGCTGGAAAGTCTTAGCTCGCACCACTAGAGACAATCTCTGACACGTGGGGGAGAAAACTAGTACTCACTCTTATTATTGTAGAAAGTCCACTACATTGAGATGACTTTTTAATTTAAAATAGATGGAGAGAATTTGTTGGTTTTTTTACAGGTCTCAGCTGTCTTACTTTCATTTGAGAAAGATGATGGCTCATTTTCTTTACACCCCAAATCTAGGGAACAGGAAATCTTTCATCTGTCTTTGGATGGACATGTTGTTCTAACAAAACAAGCAGGGAAGGTTACTGCTGTTATACTCAGAAACAGTGGGTTTTACAGGTGTGTTTCTTAAAATCACTGTGTAATCCAAAGATCACATTGCCTCTTTAAAATAATGGAAACAGATGACATTTCTTCTAAAATTATCTTCTGTTTAAAATGAAAATGATACCAGTTCTCTAGCCTGTCTTGGGCTCAGTAAGTTCAACAGAATGAAAATCATTTAGTGAGCCTGGTGGGATTGTGTCTGTGTAGGGATTGGACCAGTCCACATGAATGAGGTGGAGTGCTCTGGGTTTGAAAAGTCACTGACAGAGTGCCGCTTCAACCGTGATGCCCTCGGCTGCAGTCATGAGGAGGATGCAGCGGTCATATGTAATGTTCCTGCCATGGGCTTCCACAATAGAGTGAGTAGCTCTATCTACTATATTAAACCAAAACTTTAACTTGTATGGCACAGCAAAGCACATCTATGGCTCTCTGTCCCTAGCTTCGGTTAAATGGTGGCCGTAACCCCTATGAGGGCCGTGTGGAGGTCCTGGCAGAGAGGAACGGCTCTCTGGTGTGGGGCACAGTGTGCAGTGACAGCTGGGGGACCATGGAGGCCATGGTGGTGTGCAGACAGTTGGGCTTGGGGTTTGCCAGCCATGCTTTCCAGGTAAGGTCTCTGAAAACAACGTTTCTCTCCACTTCCCATTTTTACGATGAGCTTATCTTTGATGCTTTCAACATAAAGAAGACAGTCTGCACTCATATATAATGTTATAATTCCAGTTTTTTTTGAATATGCTTACAGGTAAGCTACTCACATTTTTTAACCTTTATTTATTCAAGGAAGGTTCACTGAGAGGCCACCTCTATTTTTTCAGGGCTGTTAACATTTATGTTGTATTTCTTTTATCGGAACCTAACAAGCAGTAAACCCCATACTTCAGCCTGCATAACCTCCTGGGTTGATCAGGCCTTCCTGCTTTGTTTTTCCACTGTATTTTCTCTGTGTCAGGTGTCTGTTTAGAAGAGGGAGGAGCTGCTCCCCTCTCACACGCAATCACAGCTGAGCAGATGGAGAACAGACAATGTGGAGGATCACTCCACAGTGCAGCAGTCAGCCATTATGGAGACTGCACAAGTAGTTTTGTCAAACAACAGTTGAACAGACAGACTTGCAGAAATGTGTCATCTGCACCGTTTTGCCTAAACCAACAAATTAAGTTCTTGTTTTATCCTCTAAACCAATGCAGGTGCCTCTTTATACACAGTGCTTGTAATGCTAATGATTGAGATGTGAAGAGCGGACATTTAAACAGTCACAGGCAACTGCCCTGCTCACACGCACCCCCTCCCCCTCGCTTTCCTGGAACTTGATTTTAGTACTACCTCCTGAGGGGTGCTGAAATGTAGCTCCCAGAACTCCCCTCCAGAGTGGGGACACAACAGTGGAAACAAATGCAGAACCCACGTTGAGTGTTACTCAGGTTGACATGTTTCAGTAGGTTTGTATAATGGAAAAATATAATATCTATTTTTTGTCCTCCACAGACATGAGAGGGCCAGAATATTAGGAACACCTCTGAATATAATGTAGTCTGGTACAACACCACCTTTAACTGGGACTTCAATAATAAACATGACTGAATGTAAAGATTTATAAAAATGTCACCAAACACTGAAACATTTTGAGCTTTAAGTTGTTGGATTTGAAAAGTGATAAAGTGTCCGATTGTGGTTGGAAGTAGTTAATTCACTTTATAAAAAGTAATTCTGTGCCAAGTTAAATAATCACTTCAAGATGTCATAGTAACAGTTCTTTGTCACCACATACAAGTTTGACTGTGCAAGAGTTCTCATGTTTAACGGCAGGTTTAGGAATAATAAATGTCTGCTCTTTATCTCAGCAGAGCATTGAATCAATCTCTCCAGAGACTCTTTCCTGTCTGACTTTAAATGCTTTTGCGGGCAAACCCCACCACCAGATGGAACAAATGACACAGTGCTCAAACTATTCTGCTGTGTCTGTCCCTCTCCTGAACCCACCAGGAAGTACTCCCACTTCCATATTATTCAGCTCGGGTTCTTTCTGACGAATCTTCCACTTCCTTGGAAGGAGGTTTCATTGTGGTCTGCAAAGTGATGTAATCAGCCTGAGTCGGGACTGTGAGGACAACCGAGAACCCCTTGTTGTGTGTGTGCTGTATGATATACCCTTTGATTAGATTTGCCTTTGGGGCAACTGGTATACAGTGTTAGCAAATTAAATACAGGGAGAAAATTAAGATAATGTTTTTGTTCCAAACCTTCCTATGGATGTTATTTTCTAAAATGGTTTAAGCAATGTGATCTGCTTGTAGCAACTGACTCAGGTATACATGAATGAAACTATGTAACAGATGGACTCATCATATTTAAAGAGTATTTCAGAAAATACCCTCATTTTTTGCCAGGAGTCACAGTATATTAGAAAATTGATACCACTCTCGTCTGTACACTAGGTCTGAAGTTAAAGCCAGTAGATAATGTTGCATAGCTTAGCACAAAGACTGAAAACAAGGGGAAGCAGACTGAAAGAAACAAAATCCTTCCCATGTACGATGGCACTGCATAGAGGCACAAATCATGGCTAGTTTGCATGTAAATTTTTCATATGGATTAACAAAACAAGATATTGTAATTATCAAGCTTTTAGAGGTGTTGCCAAGCAGATTTTGTTAGCACTGGAGAGAGCCTGGCTTGCTTTCCCTATTGGCAGTCTTTGTGCCAAGCTAAACAAACCATTTGCTAGCTCTAACTTCATATGTTTTGCGTAAATGTGAAAGAGTGAGAATGGCATAAATAAATAAAATGTAATTCCCAGCAAGATAGCAAATATACATCCCAATATTTCAAACTACTCTGTCACAAAAATTAGAATTCTCAAGAAATCACTTATTTTAGCAGGACTTTTCTGTAAATTGACAGTTCGGTCCAAACCAAATGACAGGCAGCTAGAAGGGCTATAGCTGAGTGATACCTTTTGTCTCTGCTTCCTTTTTGTCAGGAAACATGGTATTGGCAAGGAGATTCATCAGCTGATGCCTTGGTGATGAGTGGAGTGAGATGTTCAGGAACTGAGCTGACTCTGGATCAGTGTTTACATCACGGAAAATACATCCACTGTGCCAAAGGAGGTGGACGTTTTGCTGCTGGGGTATCCTGCACTCGGAGTAAGGAGCAATCATTGCTTGCCTGTAGAATTTTATATAGTTTAAAGCACTGGAAGGAAAGTAGATGCCTGAGTGCCAAAAATATGACCCCTGATGAAAGATGCTTTTACATATTTTACATTAAAGCTTAATCTAGATAATACAAATAACATAAAATCAAAAAGAATCATGTAAATCCAAATAAATATGACAATCTAATTAGGAAGTGGTAAATAAAGAGACACCTGTTTACTGTGTGTGGATATCCATCCATTATCTATACTGCTTATTCTAAGGATGGTCACGGGGCCTGGAGCCAATCCCAGCTGACATTGGGCGAGAGGCAGGGTACACCCTGGACAGGTCGTCGGTCTATCACTGCGCCACCATGCCTACCTGTGTGTGGATAATACAGGGTAGGCCACAGAAAAGTAGCCCACCTCTGGTGATGGTATGAGTGAGCAAGTGGATTGTTTTGGAGGCGGGCTAGTTTTCTGTGGGCCACGTGGTGTAAGCATAATATCTCCAACCTGTAACACAGAACATACATTCACACACATTTTTCTATTTTTGCTAAATGAGTATTATAACGAGTGCACTGTATAGAGACTGCTATAAGCAGTTGCCAAATTGTTTTTATTAAAAAGTTGTATTCTTAAATGAGCTGAATGAAATGGACATATGGGGGGTGGCATGGTGATACAGTGGTTAGTGCTGCTGCCTCACAGGATGATGGTTCTGGGTTTGAGTCCAGTCCCTTTTTGTGTGGAGTTTGCATGTTCTCCCTGTGCCTGCGTGGGTTTTCTCTGGGTACTCCAGCATCCTCCCACAGACCTGCAGTTTAGGTTGAGTGGTATCTCTAAATTGCCCCTGAGAGTGAGTGTCCATTTTATGGAACACACAAAAAAAAAAAGAAAAAAATGTTGATGAAATGTATAGAAAATAATCACTGTTGGATACAAACCATTTTTTAAACCAAGTTACTCATCAACATGAAACCAGTCAACATTGATTAGTAGGCCAACATTTCTTTATATAATATTTCATCAAAGACAAACCAGGTGTCATACAGAAAAACCGGGGCAGCTTGAGTTTTGTGATGTGTGCTGACCACTGTGTTCCTTGTTGCTCTCCCAGCGGCCCCAGACTTGGTTCTCAGTGCTCAGGTTGTAGAGCAGACCAGCTACCTGGAAGACAGGCCCATGTACGCACTGCAGTGTGCCCAGGAGGAGAACTGTTTGTCCAGTAGCGCTGACAAAACAGACTCCAGCTCCTACCGCCGCCTTCTTCGCTTCTCCTCCCAGATCCACAACAATGGCTTGGCAGACTTCAGGCCACGGGCAGCACAGCACTCCTGGATTTGGCATGAATGTCACAGGTGACACTTCGAGACCTACAGTTTGTAGTTTACTGCTACTTTATAATCAAAAGAAATATATATACAGTCAGGGAAAAAATTATTTGAACCCCAGCTGATTTTGTTAGTTTGCCCACTAACAAAGAAATGATCAGTCTACAATTTCAATGGTAGGTTTATTTGAACAGTGAGACACACAACAACAACAAAAAAAATCCAGAAAAATGAATTACAAAAAAAGTTGTACATTAATTTGCATTTTCATGAATGAAATAAGTATTTGATCCCTTTGCAAAACGTGCTTCAGTACTTGTTGGCAAAACCTTTGTTAGCAATCACAGAGATCAGACGTTTCTTGTAGTTGGCCACAAGGTTTGCACACATCTCGGGGGGATTTTGACCCACTCCTCTTTGCAGATCCTCTCCAAGTCATTAATGTTTCATGGCTGATGTTTGGCAACTCGAACCTTCAGCTCCCTCCACAGATTTTCTATGGGATTAAGGTCTGGAGACTGACTAGGCCACTCCATGACCTTAATATGTTTCTTCTTGAGCCAATCCTTTGTTGCCTTGGCCGTGTGTTTTGGATCATTGTCATGCTGGAATACCCAACTACGACCCATTTTCAATGCCCTGACTGAGGGAAGGAGGTTCTCACCCAAGATTTGAGTACATGGCCCCATCCATCCTCCCTTTGATGCGGTGCAATTGTCCTGTCCCCTTGGCAAAAAAACACCCCCAAAGCATAATGTTTCCACCTCCATATTTGACGGTGGGGACGGTGTTTTTGGAGTCATAGGCAGCATTCCTCCTCCTCCAAACACGGCGAGTTGATGCCAAAGAGCTCGATTTTGGTCTCATCTGACCACAACACATTCACCCAGTCTTCCTCTGAATCAGTCAGATGTTCAGTGGCAAACTTCAAACGGGCCTGTAGATGTACTTTCTTGAGCAGGGGGACCTTGCGGGCACAGCAGGATTTCAGACCTTCACGGCGTAGTGTGTTACCAACTGTTTTTTGGGTGACTATGGTCACAGCTGCCTTGAGATCATTGACAAGTTCCTCCCGAGTACTTCTGGGCTGATTCCTCACCGTTCTCATAATCATTGAAACGCCACGAGGTGAGATCTTGCATGGAGCAACAGGCCGAGGGAGATTGGCAGTTAATTTATGTTTCTTCCATTTGCGAATAATCGCACCAACTGTTGTCACCTTCTCACCCAGCTGCTTGGCGATGGTCTTGTACCCCATTCCAGCCTTGTGTAGGTCCACAATCTTGTCCCTGACATCCTTGGAAAGCTCTTTGGTCTTGGCCATGGTGAAGAGTT